CCTTTCTTACAAAGACCTACAAAAACATAAGATGCAACTTCATTTGCTTGGGAATAAAGAGCACAATAACTTTTCCTGTGTCACACTTCAGTTAGTGGCAAGAAAAATAATTGAAAGAGCTGCAACATACGATCCATGTTAAGCAGACTTAATTTCCCTGTTTTGAAAGGAGTTGTGACACAATTACCCCAAATGCTGAGAGGTTTCAATCTTGTCTCTCTTCCCTTCAATGAACTGCGCCAGGCCTCACTGCTTTGCTTGGGAAGTTTTTCAACTGGGGAACCTCAGGATTCCATGAGAAATCACTAGGGCTTCCCTGGGAGACCTTGATTTATTTTTTTAAAAAGCAGAGGTTGATTTAAAAAAAAACACCTATAACCTTCGACACTGGGTTATGGGTTGGCCTGCCGAAGCTTGCACAGATCCTGGGTGGGATTGTGGAGGAGAGGAAGAAACAGCAAGTAATGAGAAAAGCGTGTAAGAGATGCTGCTGCGGTCTCCCTGCTGAGTTTCCAGTGTGCACATGCATTTGTCCAGAAAGCCTCATTTCAGGGAGGGCACCAGCGGCGGCAGCAGAAGCCACCCACAAAAACAGGAGGTGGGTAGGAAGGAGGCAGGGAAAAGGAAAAATGGTGGTTGTGGTGAAGGCTTTGGAATCAGGGTGGCAGGATTTCATGGGAGACTGGGGAGTCCAAACATTAAGGGGAGAGATATTGGAGGTTGGCAGCCATCACCCCCTCTCTAGTTGTGCAATGGGGGTCCCTTGAGAGAAGAGGTGGGAAGCAAGGAGGAGAAACCAGATTTAGGGAACAAGGTGCATGAATCAAATATAATATTTTTGTTAACTTCTTGTCTATATTTGATCCTGAATGTGCAGGGGTTCCACAAGGTGTGAAAAATATTTCAAAGGTTCCTCCGGGTACAAAAGGCTTTGTGTGATGTGAGCTGTCCCAGTGTAATCTAAGAAGTAATTTCCTAAGAGCGTTATTTTGAGAATTTAAAATACCTCCTTCTACTGCAAAATAAAGGCAAACACACTTTCCTCTAAAGTTTCCTTGAACAGTCCAACAAATTCCACACAAGGCAGGTATTGAATTTCACAGTCAGTTTTATTGAATATTTGTGGATTGTCTCCCCTCTAACAAATGACAAATATCACAACACATTTTAAAAAAAAATACAGATGCTTCGGACAAGTTATTCCATTTCCTTTCGTTATTGAGTATCTCCTGGCTGTTTTACCCTTTTTCTTATATAACAATCAGTTTGTAACCACAGCCATGCAGGGCTTCAAGAACAAGGAGCACACCATCGCTTCTACCATCGAAACTTCACACACAGATCATCTGAGCCATGGGCTCCCATATTAAATGTGTTCCTATTCTATTTCTTTGGGGAAGGAAGAGTTTGAGCTCGCATCCTTGCTCGTAATTATTTTAGTTTCAATGACAGGTTATTAATTTGGAATACTGTAATACAACCACCTCCGATTTTGCATCCTCCACTGAGTTGTGGCTTCCATCGTTCTCTGTACAAACAGGAATAATGAGAGTTGCAGATACAGAGGATTGCAGGTTTCATTGTTTTTAGTCAATTTTGTAAGCATTTTTTTCCTGCTTCTGGTGAGGAACAGCAAACTGACATTCCACAGACAGCAATAAACATTATGGCTAAAATGCGGAGTGTGGGTTGCTGAGAATTCTCCCACAAGAAAGGAGACATCTTGAGATTACCCAGATACATATTCCAGACAGCTGAAGGTTTTTGTGAGTAGATGGCGAGGAGTGGTATTTTTTGCAGCCTCTTGTAGTTTGTAATACTTCTGGTAACTCTTACTGGACTTTTGATTAATATGGGGAAATGAGGTTTACAGAGGAATGGAATGAGGTTAATGTTCAGGTGTATTTTAAGAGATAAAATTGTTAATGTTGATTATACCTGCTGGGAATGAAGGGGGAGATTCCTTTTTCTACCCTTTTCTGCACTTCGTAAATTTTTTTATTTTTTTAAAATATATTTCCATACTATGTATTTGTATTAGTTTTATCAGTATATCATCATCTTTAATAAAATTATTTGGGGGAAGAGAAGTTTGGAAGCAACTTTTTAAAGTAACAGTGAAGCTATTGTTTCCTTCTTAAGAACAATGAAGCTAAAGCCTATGCCCAACTGAAGCTGCTAACGCAGCCAGTCTGATACTATCCACCTAAACAGGCTGTGGCTCTTCTGGATCACTAATATTGCCTCTTTCTAACAGGAGATACCAGGGTTGAAGTGGATCAGAGACGTTTGGCATGCAAAGTGTATGCTCCACTGCTAACTTAAGGCTGTAACTCTGGGCTGGAAGAGGCAGACTTGCCATCCTCAAAGACAAGTGAGGATGCCAAGAAACAAGGCAGTGGAAGCAGGTAAGGAGTTGGCAGTGGTTCAGTTCTTGTGCCAGAGCTCAGAGTGCCTGGAAATGTGTGCCAGAAGCTCCAATTTCCAATAAACCCAAAGATTTTGCAGCTCAATTAAAATTTCTGTAGGTTTTTTTTTAAAGCTGTCTACATGATTGAGTTTGTCATTTTTAGAATATTTTGCTGTGAGCCCAAGGCAGTGCTCTAAATCTGTGCTTTGATCAGCAACTGGGCCAATATGGCTATAAGAAATACGGGTGCTGACACATGATTGTGGGGGGAAATGCTTGGAAGAAAAAGGCAAAGTTTTTTTTTAATTCAATCCCAACACCTGTTCTTCAAGGAAATTAATCAATGTTAGTTTTCATGCTCCTTTTAATGTTCACAATAATACAGGGAAGTTGGTTTTACTGAGAGATGGGAAGTAGCCCATCATCATCTAGATCAGGGGTCTCCAAAGTTGGCCACTTTAGCACTTGAGGACTTCAACTCCCAAAATTCCGCCGCTACCACAAGTCTTAAAGTAGCCAACTTTGGAGACCCCTGATCTAGAGACTGAACTTCCAGGATGAATGGGGATCTGAACTGGATTCCCATGATATCGTCACTTGACCAGAAGCCATTGCAAAGGGGCTGGAAATGAGAAGTAAAACAGGGAGCAGAATTACATCCATGTATCTCTCACATTTTATCAAAAAAAAAACCAACCCTCCCTGGGTCTTAATTCCATTTAATGGAATAAATAAATAAAATAAAAATGTGTCGCAACCTATTTCAATCCATTGCTGGAATACAATGTCATAATCTCTGGACAATGATCTTTTAAGAGTAATAAAAAAAAAAAACCATTCTGGAAATCATAGTCAGAAAAAATTATGTTGAAAATTTTCAGGTTAGTTCTATCTTGTAGAAAATAAGATGGCGGGGGGGGAGGGGAGAGGATAGTGAGAGAGATTGAATGTAACTACACAGAATTCCGTGCAACACAGCTCTCACACAAGGCTATGGAGATCTGTGTTGCCAGAATAAATTACTTGATCAGCTTATTTAGTCTAATTTGTTTCACTTACCAAATCCAGCACTTCAAAAACTATCATTACTATTGGCAAAGACCTCTGGCCAAGAGACAGCAGGGTTGCTAATATCCCTTACTGACACTCAGCAGGAAACCAGCCATTTCTATTGTCAATACAGCCTAGCACAGCCAAAATCATACCGACTGTATTGGAACAGAGGCATGTCTCGGTGACTTTGTAGACAAACAAGAGTGGGAAAGGACAGGACTAACAAAATGGGAGGGAGGGGGAATTTGCTTCTAACACAGAAGCTGTAAACCCGCCTATGTCAACAATATATACAATATATTACTACATTAACTACTTGTTCGTAAGATGGCTTTTTCATTGCTTGTATATGTGCCTATGTATGTGTGCATGTCTCAGTACTGTATAATGTGTGTTTTTATATCCACATTCATGTCAAGCACAGCTAAACGGAAGGATAATTTGACAACAAGAAATTGTGCTTCTTCTTTTTTTATCTAAACGTTTTACTTTCCTGTCTTGTGATGACCCAAGGGGCCTTACTTTAACTAGCATAAGCAAAAGATAAAATGTGCCGGTGGTGTGCACGCATGTGTATGCAAACACTCCCACACATACATTTGGCAGCCAGGGTGCCTCTTTGCAGACATTCTCGACATTGATCCTGGCTAGTCAATTTATTGCTTATGACCTATTCTAGATAAAGACCTTGTTCCAGAGAATGGAAATACCCAGCATTGGCATTAAGAGGAAACCACACAGCTCTCTTCAAATAGCTGAAAGGTATGACACAGAGGAAGCAGCTCTTGCTCTAGAACAATGTCTCTCAACTTTGGCAACTTTGATATGTGTGGACAAATGGGGAATTCTGGGAATTGAAGTCTACCCATATTAAAGTTGGCAACGTTGCTCTAAAAGGCGGAAATTAAAGCAAGTGGTATCAAGGCCAAGGAAGAAGATTGCAGCAAAACTTTAGGACAAACCTTTCTAGTGGCCAAGAACTGTTGGATGGTGAATTTAACTTCTCTCAGAAGAAAAGTGGGATTTCCTTTGCTGAAGGTATTAAGTAGCTTGGAAGGCCAGCTATCCAAAAGAGCCGCCACTCCACATTCCTGCCACTGAATCTGCATGTACGCATGTGCAACTGCATGTTTTTATGTGCAGACTAGATGACCTAAATCATTTGTTTCATTTTTAAATTTTACCATTCTTAAAATTGTGAAATAGATCGGGACTGAATGGCAAAATCGAGCTCAGCAAGATAAGAGCTACCTGCTCTAAGACTCTCCAGGATTCAGTGCTGGGGAAATTAACCTAGCACTGCCCTGGTACCTGAGGTCTATAGCTTTAGAATGTGGGCTATCTATATAAACTTTCTGGGGAAATCAAAAAAAAACCCCTGATGTTCCCTGAAAATAAATCATATGGACTAGAACCTAATCCCACACCTTTGACCCGGCCTGCCATCCATGTAAACGACAGCCCTTACCTCTAAATATGTGAATCTACAAGGGGGGGAGGGGGGTGAAGGAAAGAATGGCTGGTTAAGCAAATGGAGACAAGAGCAAAATCATATCCTGTGAAATTTATGAGAGTTATAGTCATGATACAAAATGTTTTGAAACCAAGCCCTTCACAACTTTCTTCCTCTCTCTCTTGCACACACACACACAGACATATAAACTATACTTAACAAATTCCAAAATAAAAGATAAGTGAGCTGGTGCCTGGCTGGACAAGGTGGGGGTCCACACCAAGGGTGCCACAATCCTGCAGTAGTTTTCTGGTACTACTCGAAACCACCCCACCGGGTCTTTATGAAAGCAACTTGAGACTGTCTCCTGCCTCGCTTGTGCAGCCTGGCAGCCAGTGCCCTCAACCCAAAGCAATTAACAGTGTTTGGCAAGAAGTGCAGAGAGGCCACAGGCTAAGCAGTGGCTATGGTTTCTTCAGTTTGCCCTCCATCATCAGCTTCTCATTCAGCTGGCACAGCTGCTTCAAGAAGCCATCGTTGGGGCCAATTTCCCGTTTCTGCCGGACGGCGCTGACGGCACTTTTGACATCCATGTTCTGCCGAAGCATGAGGTAAGCGATGACGAGGGTGGGTGAGCGGCTGTAGCCTTCACGGCAGTGGACAAACACTCTACCTAGTTGGCAAAAAAAAAAGAACAGACAGCTAAGTTGGAACACAATGTTATGCCAAAGATAACTGGGCTTCGTAATAGGGATATGCATACAATAGAAACTTTAGGGTAAATATGTGTGGATGTGGGTGTCAGGCCTGCAGTCATATTCCTTTTAGGGTCTTTGGCCTGCCACACACTCTCTCTCTTTCTTTACTATGCTGTTTCATTAGTGGGGAATTGGGAGGGGGAATAGTAAGGAGTAGAATGTGTTTGTTTTCAAAATAAAAAAAATCCTTTCTAGAAATCAAGGTCATTCTTTGCTTCTGCACCTCTGTACCTGACTGGAAGTGGATAGGTGGAAATGCCAGTGTGGCAGTGGAAGATTGGACCATGTGATGGACTTGTGGGTGTGGAGGCAGGATTATGAACTTTCAACTGGGTGGGAACCCGGGAAGCTTTCAGATTCGGGTTTCCACAGATTGTACCAACATGTCCCTCTTATTAAATTGGAACTTTTAGGAAAGCTATGCTTTGGACTCTGATTTAATTCTGGATGATATTTGGAAGGCTGACAGTGGGTGTTAGTGGAAAGGCTGGGGCAAGGCGGGGGGGGGGGCAAATGCATTTAGGGATTTTAAGAGGAGAAGCAGTATCAGAGAATGTACCTTTTTCTCTTGACTGCTGTCACTCCACTTTAAAGTGGAATTTCTACAGGAATACAAATAGACTTTCCCATGTTTTCAACAACCTAAGGATAGACTTTAACTTCCAGAATTCCCCAGGCAGTATGAACATGGTTCAGAATTTGGGGCCTTGAAGTTCAGATATTTATAGAATACCCAAATTGAAGAAACTGGAGATATATATACATATATACATACATATATACATACTGTATTTATAGAAGCTCAGCCTCTTAGGCACTGAGCCATCGTGTCCCAATAGGGATGTGGTGGCTCAGTGGCTAAGAGGCTGAGATTGTCGATCAGAAAAGCAGTTCAAATCCCTATTGCCGCATAATGGAGTGAGTTCCCGTTGTTTGTCCCAGCTTCTGTCAACCTAGAGATTTGAAAGCATGTAAAAATGCAAATAGAAAAATAGAGACCACCTTTATGGGAAGGTAACAGCATTCCATGCACCTTTGGCATTTAGTCATGTCGGCCACATGACCATAGAGACATCTTCGGACAGCGCTGGCTCTTCTGCTTTGAAACGGAGATGAGCACCACCCCCTAAAGTCAGGAACGATGAGCACATGTGCAAGGGGAACCTTTATCTCGTCTGTGTGTGTGTGTGTGTGTGTGTGTGTGTGTGTGTGTGTGTGTGTGTGTGTGTGTAACATTTATGTATTATGTATTGTTTGTTTGATTGCTTTACTGGAGGACAACCAGAAACCTAGTTGCCAACATATTAATCTATCATGGCCTGTTAGTTGAGGATGGTGGGAATTGTTGGCCAAACATGAAATGTGTTCCAATACTGTAAAAAAGGGCAGTTTTTACTTGTCCACCTGGATTTTCTTTTTAACAAAATGAAATATCAAAAAGGAGAAGGAAGGAATGGTGATAGGGTAGATGTCAGAAAGAAAATAAGCATGAAACATTCTCAGAGGTAAGAGAAAGAAGTAATAAGTGTACAATACATGAACCAGAAATAAACACATTTTGGGACAGAAGAAAGAGAAGAATGACCTCCCCCTTTACCATTTCCTATTATGAAAACCCCTTGAAGTCTGTTTTGAACACATAGCTATTTCATTTGTCTTTCCAGATTACTGGACATTATTTTACCACCCAACATCTTAGAAATCCCATTTCGTTGCCATCTCTTGTTTTAGCTTTAATTCTCAGATTAAAGCACTACAAATTCCCAAAGGAGCATGGAAAGGACTTCCATTTCATGCAAGGATGCATTTTTAGATACCAAATTCCCCTCTTTCTATCTAAACCGATCAGGGAGAGGCCCTTGCAATTTTCCGAGTCAGTTCCCTTTGGTACGTTTGCTTCTTCTAAAAAACTCTGTTCTTTCCTAACTCTGCCAAAATAGAAAATGGAAAAATGCCATTTTGCTCCTTTTGGCTACCCCACAGCAAATATTAGAGACCTGGCACAGGTCAGCCGATTCCTTTCATTTCTAAAAGCCTTCTCTTTTTGTCTCTCCTGGCTCTAAGGTTCAAAACAAAAGCCCAAAACAAAAAACCTTTCACGTTTAATGTCTGGGGATTGTCATGTGTGTTGGGCCTGGTGTCTGTGTGTTATGTGAATTTTGGGTATACCATGTATATATATACAATGACAATAAAGTAAAACCAAATCAAATTAATGGCCAAGTAGAGATTTATCACTCTGTGTGTGTGTGTGTGTGTGTGTGTGTGTGTGTATGAGTAAGCATAGATGCAATGCACTGATAGTGGTAAACGGATTGTGTGTATGTGTATATGTACATAGTCATGCATGCTTTGGTCCTATAAACCACTACCATACAGGCAAGTAGATTTATTAAAAGAAAATCAACCCAATGTAGGCCTAATAACTGCCTCAGGGAGCTGGACCTTATTCATTCACCAAGCAGCAGATTCAATTCCTTGGCTAATCAAAGAATAAAAGTCCAGGTGGCCCCAGGTGAGATGGCATTGCCCTATTACCCAAGAGTTATCTGTGTGATGCAATGTTCAGAAATGCCCACATAACTACAACATCCACTAATAGCTTTTTCAGGACCACCAGTATTTTTTAGATTTAAATAAATGGCAAAAATTATTATTATTCAACATTGCCAGTCTTGTGGGTTTTTGAAATCTTCAAGCAAGAGTTTAGGAGTGATATTAAGTAAAATTTGGGCCACTTACAAAATACATATTTTTACATGCTCATGAGCCATCTAATGATGGAGAATGGAAATGTTATTCTGCCGTGGGATCCCACCAATCTCAGTGCAAGTTTGGCTCAATTCTACAAGTAAGAATACATCCAGCTCAAGCCCAACAGGTGCAAACCACGCCCAAGGCTACCATTCATCTTTCTCATCCCTGTTTTCCAGGTCCAAAATTCTACTATGGAATAACCCACAGCAGTTACTTCAGATTGAGAAAAAGACATCAGAAGCTAAGGAGAAGTGCAAAGCTTGACATTTACAGCATTTTCTTTCCCTTTGTCACCCCTATATAACAGCACAAACCCACAGTCAACTGCAAGTTATCAGCAAGCAAGCAAATTCTTCTTCTTCTGCAACAACAACTGGATATAATTTATACATTTCTCATTTACATCTCCCACACTTCTCGTCTCTTAAACTCTTAGCATTTCAGCAGTTTCTCCTACCCTCTTCCGTAGCTCGCAAAAGATTGCAAAAGATCAGTCAATCCAGGACTGAAGAAAATGTTAAGCAGTCGTTGGCAATGTTGTGCCCACAGGGGCCATTATATTCCAAACATTTTTTTAGTGCAGCTCCAGGCCTTACTCTGACTTTTGGCAATGGCTGTTATATTGCTGCCCATTCCACTTGGGGTGGCCATTTAATGAGCAGGCATGTCTCCAATAAGAGCCATTTTGTTCTTCAATGTTGCTAAAATGCCAAATGTGTCCCTGAATCAAAAAGGTTGTTGGCTTCTACATTAAGAGATCTGTCTATCTTCCATATTTCCATCCCTCCAGGCCACCTATAGCAAACATTTACAATTTTAAAAATGCCTTTGTAATGGATGGCAAGAGAGCAAAGTAAGGAATCTGGGGTCAAACCGAAAAATATAGGATAGTTCTAAGAATTATATGGTATAGGAAGGAGATACTGATAGTATACTGATAGTCCTTGACTTATAACCATTTGCTTAGTGATTTCAAAGTTATGGCACTGAAAAAAGTGGCATGGCCATTTTTCAATTTACAACCATTGCAGCATTTCTTTGGTCACATGATCAAAATTCAGATGCTTGGCAACTGGCTTATATTTATGATGGTTCCAGTGTCTCAGATTTATGTAAAGCAAACCCCTTAGAGAAGCAAACTCAATGGGAAGCCAGTTCTACTTAACAATTGTGGCCAAAAAGTTTGCAAAATGGGGCACAACACACTCAACAATTCCTTAGTAATGGAAATTTTGGGCTCAATTGTGATCATAAGTTGAGGACTATCTATATACATACACTTACATAAAGGCTTCAAGTCAATTATTAAATGATAGCTGCTGAGGTAAAGGAGAGTTTTCCAGCCAGTTGAGAAGCAGAGCAAGGGCAGGAAACATTTATTTATTATCAATGCAGCCATTTTCTTCTCTCCCTATCCCCTACTTCCCATCTTGCTGCCATGCAGTCTCTGAATGAGTTGGAGAGATTAATTCTGGCAATACTCTAAATCAGGGGTGTCAAATTCAATTTCATTGAGGGCCGCATCCGGGTTGTGTTTGACCTCAGGGGGTCCATGGTATGGCCAGGGAGCGTGGCCAACATGACATCACCTGTGTTGAGGGGGCACCTGTAGTGGCCCGAGTGGTCTCCCAGCCAAAACGAACTCCCAAGCTCCGTTTTCAGTTGGGACGGCCCCCTGCAACCCTTTGCCAGCTAAAACAGAGCTCAGAAGGCCCGCGTGTGGTCCTCGTGACCTCCATTTTCGCTGGCAGAGCCATGCGGGCGGGTCCTTCGCTATTTCCAGGGCAGCCCTGCGGGTCAGATATAAGCACCTCATGCACCGGGTCTGGCCCCTAGGCCTTGAGTTTGACATCCCTGCTCTAAATACTAAGAAACAATGAATGGGTACCATGATCATTGATCATGCAAAGTCTCGGTTTCTTACAAAATGATAACTGAATAATTCATGCAACAATTTAAACCAAATTTGAACCAAACCAAGACTTAAGAAATTGTATCTAAGCAAGATAACAATTTGGCCATGCAACACAGAAAGCCACTTGGACATAGATGTCTTACCATCTTTCTGTGCTAATGCCTTATCAATGAAATCAGCAGCTTCTTCAAAGTAATGGCTGAGGTTGAACTCCTGGGTGTCATTGGCCTTGATGCCATGGTAGACGATACTAGTTCCTTCATAGAAGTCAGCATTTGTATTCACATGCATGAAAGACTTGCCTTCCGCAGCATTGAGAACATGGGTGATGCCCAGGCGTTGTAAACGCATGATATTTTTGGCTATGAACCTGTAAGAAAGTTATAAAGAGGAACATTCAGAGGGAAGAAATGATCCTGGATTGTCAGGGAAATGCAAAAGAAACTCCATTAACTCTGAAATCTAGAAAACAACAGATGGAATTGTTAACAAAATATTACTGTCTAGAATATTCCTGTTCAGGATGTTCCATTCTATGCCTGTTGCATCCCAATTTTCTTACCAAGAGCCAATATTTCTTAGCTACAAATCACTTATATATGATAAGGATATTGTTTTAAGAAAAATGAGTTCTCTTTTATGGCTTTTAGCAAAGTATTTTTAAAATATTTTTACAAATATCATGGTTAGTTCAAGCTTAATATTCTTTAACAAATATCTGCTTCCATTTATTCCATGTGTTGCAGAAAAAAATAGCAACACTTTTTGATTCAGAAAAACACAACTGTAATCTTGGCCAAGTGAGGTTTTGCAAGAGACTAAGGGCAAAATTAAAAATTCACTCATATATATCATTCAATATTCTACTGCCTGAGTTTGCCCCTTGAATTTGTTTTTAAGAAGAAGGATCCACATCCTTAAAAATTTGAAAATCCCTGGTGTAGGCTTGAAATATGTTATTTAAAAACAAAAAGTAAAAGCAAAAATGAGGTTGCCTGCTTGAACAATCCCAAAAATCCATTCTACGAAGACTACCAGTATTTTAAGTGCAGCTGTATGTGTGTGGGGATCGGGGTGTCAGCCATTCTTGCTACTAGAAGAAATCTACAGCAATGGGCAAGGAGTGTCAAGAAGAGAAGATTGCACTGTTAACAAAAGCAAGACTTCCCATGATCCTGCTGTCTTAACTTCAGTTCAAACCACCTCCCTGGCTATTAATTTGTTTTGCTTTTTAATTATATATATAGCATTATCACTTAGATGTATTATACCACTCCACAGTGCTTTACAGCCCTCTCTAAGCAGTTTTTACAGAGTCAGCATATTGCCCCCAACAATCTGGGTCCTGATTTTACCCACCTCGGAAAGATGGAAGTCTGAGTCAACCTTGTGCCTGGTGAAATTCAAACTGCTAAATTGCAGGCAGCCATGCAATCAGCAGTAGTCTGCAGTACTGAATTCTAAACACTGCACCAACTGTGGCACCGCGGCTATGCTGTACTTTTAGCTTCTCTTCAGCATAAGTGTATTTAAAAAGCAATTTATACTGGCATTTTGTACCACCCCAAAGCCTTAACATTAAAAAAAAACAATGAGCTGAAATGAGGTATTTTTGACAGCCAAGGTCCCCAATACTGCATGAAAAATATATTGCCTCCTATGCAGGAAAGCTGTTTAACACCTGATAAATGGCTGAATTAAGGAAAAGAAAGTATTTTCCTCCGGTGAACAATTATTTATTTTTCCTTTTTTAAACCCTTACAAAGTATTTATGCTTTTTTTATTTATTCTGCTTCTAAACACTACTTTACTGAATTACAATAGCATCCTTTACATTGGTTCATAATTTAGCACACCTGGCATAAAAGCAGAGGAAAATGTGGAAGAGCTGTATTAGTCTACAGTAGCCGAAAAAAGCAAACAAACCCCGTGAGACTGGTAGCATCTTTTCTGATTTACAAGTTTTATTAAAAGACATAACATTTTGTCCAGCTGTATTTTACTTTATCTGAAGTATCTGATGAAGTGAGCTTTAGCTCGCAAACGTTTACACCTTTTAATAAAATGTGTTAGTTAGAAAAGGTACTGCCATAATCTTCCTGATTGAAAGAAAGAAGCATGGATCTGAAAGAAACATTCGAGGAAAAAGCTCAGTGTAGGTCAGAAGTGGCAAACCAAATTCTCACACAGCCAGCAGTAGCTTCCAGAAGAGCTTTGCATTTGGCCCTCAAAACGTGTCACTAATTATAATTTTAAACATACAGAGAAAATAATTAAATACAAGGTGACAGTCGTTTAATGTTAATTCAATTTAAAAGTACATTTAAAATAATCTATTTATCTTGACCATGATTCCATTCACACTGTGAAGCACGGCCCTGATTTTCATAATTCATGTATAAATTCAACATTAATAGTTGTTCACTCATACGTGACTCTAAGATCATATACAGAAGGTCATACACAGAAGGACAGAAGGACATGGGATAACTGCTGTACAGTTTAAAAAGGCAGAAAATCCTTTCTACCATCGCCATATGCAATATTAAGTGCAGCTCCTATCCATGAAAAAGTTACTCACTCCTGCTACTGAATAAAATCTATAGTGATACAAAAGAGAAGACTGCAGTCTTGACCTGAAGAACTACAATCAATCTACTAACTATTCTTCTCTAGTTGGATCTGTAAGGTTAAACTGTTCTCCCTTGCTCACTTATTATTTACTTCACAGGTGGCCCTCAATTCACAACACTTCAGTTAGTGATGGTTTGAAGTTACAATGGCACTGAAAAAAGTGACTTACGATCATTTTTCTCACAACTGCTGCAGCATCCCATGGTCACACGCCATCAAAATTCAGAAACTTAGGAACTGACTCATATTTTTGATCGTTGCACTGTCCTGGGGTCATGTGATTTCCTTTTGGGACCTTCTGACAAGCAAAGTCAATAGGGAAGACAGATTCACTTAGAGCCGAGGTGGCGCAGTGGTTAAATGCAGCACTGCAGGCTACTTCAGCTGACTGCAGTTCTGCAGTTCTGCAGTTCGGCTGTTCAAATCTCACCAGCTCAAGGTTGACTCAGCCTTCCATCCTTCCGAGGTGGGTAAAATGAGGACCCCAGACTGTGGGGGCGATATGCTGACTCTGAAAACCGCTTAGAGAGGGCTGAAAGCCCTATGAAGCGGTATATAAGTCTAACTGCTATTGCTACTGCTATAATCAGATTACTAACCACTTCAGTGATTCACTTAACAACTTTGGCAAACTGGGACAAATCTCATTTAACAACTGTGTCATTTAGCAACAAATTTAGGATTCAGTTCTGGTTGTATGTCAAGGACTACCTGTACATGGGAGACCAAGATTACAACCTTTGACAGGTATATTGACATTTGGTTCTTAAGTTCTAGGAGGAAATTATTTGCGCGGTTTCCTCTCCCTTGCTTTTCAGAGACAACTTTTGACCAACTTTAATAGAAGTGAGGAGAGATTCCCCTTATATCCTAGAAATAAAAGATGATCCCAGTTACTGTTTAAAAGTAAGAGTGGGAGGCAACAAACAAAGTTGTAACAATGGCACAACACAAGCTTCTATATTGGTAAGAACCACTTGCTCTCAAAGTAATGAAGTGGCTTTTTGGCCAAGAGTAGCCTGGATGTCTGGGAGAAGTGAGGAAAAATAGAACAAATTGACAAGTTACCCTTTCTCATGGCACATGCTACTCAAAATTTATTTTTATTTATTTATTGGATCTTTATTAGCACATCAAAGGCACATCAAAATTGTTACAAAATAAGAAAAAAAAACATAGTGGTACTTCAATATATACATTACCATGGCAAAGATAAAAGCAATAATCTATAATAAAGGTATAGACTGGCTTAAAAATTAAAAACCTCTTAGCATTCTTAGCAAAGATTGTGTAACTCTGAAAAAAATATCCCACAGGGCAATAATATAAGATTTTTTTCTTAGTACCAAAAATGATAAATATGCCAGTTAAGCCTTTTCAGAGAGAGCACCCAACCATTGTGGGAGCAAGCACTCCATTTAGTAGGCATCTAGTGGATGTCATTGGACAAAATACCAAAATACAGATAACCAATGATAGCTCTAGTTTATTTGTTATTTGCAAGTGGAGAAATCTTTCAAATAGCATTTGACGTGGCATTCTTACTGAAAGAAATATTTTATGTAATGGAACAAAAATTAGTGAGATAAAAGTATGGGCCATACATGCCTGAAGCAGTTCGGGGCATGATGTCAGAGAGGAAGACTTTGTCTGATTGTGACCATTACCCCAACTCCTTCATTGGTTATAATCTACACCTATGAAATTAATCCTAAAGACTATGAAAGCATGGAGAATATCTATCTATGTGGTTGCTAAGAGTAGACAACAACTTGATGGCATATAATTAATTGATCAATGCAAACAAACAAAAAAATTATAATACACCTCCCAAATGGGCATGTTCCAATTACAATTAAAACAAACAAAAATCAAATAATTAAATTTGCACAAAAACAATACAAGGTACACATCATAATATATACTTCATTAAAAGTATAATCCTGGAAAAACACTTACACAACCATGAAATCCTGAATCTGCATGCTTGAAATACCTGCTAATTGTTAACTTTGCTAATAAGATTTATAACAAAACAGTACTGCTAACTTCATGCCATTATCTAATCCCTATCTTTAACAAGCATACATTTTGATAGCTATATGAATAAATAGCATACATTTTCATCACCTCTGCTTTTAAACATTATGCAACACAATCATGGGTAAAATAAGTTTTTTCTCCTTCAACTGTATTTTGCAAAAAAACGTTCTTTTGTTATTGGTAGGTCTATATCTTACATACTATAATATAAAGCACTGGATTAGTTCTGTTGTTTTTTTTTCAGACAGTACTGGACCAAGTTCATGTTTTTCCAATTCACAGTTTACAACTCGAACTATAACTCCTGCCTTTAATCTCCAGCTGTATAGACAAACCATAATCTACAACTCAATGAATTCTATGAGGCATTTCCAAGAGGACTAATTCTCTGGGTTTAGGATTACAATCCTAACTACTTGTTTAAAATAATATTATTTTAAATATATTATTCAATATGAAAACTTCCAAAGCCTCATAATTTGATGACAAAAATAAACACAGTAAAATATTACTATATTTAGTATTTAAGAAACAATAATAACCTACATGTCTTATCAAACTACTCTATAACTACTCAGAAGTCCCACTGAATAAACTGAGATTTGTCTGTGGATCACAGCTTAACAAAGCAGTTTACAGATAAATTTAGTCATACGTCCCCGAAAGGAAATCTCATTTAAAAGAATGAGTAAA